TAACGTTATTCAATTGCCTTGTGGATTAGACCTCGAGGGTAAAGGCTCAGGGAGTAGCCTACTATGAAAACCACCTGCTTCGGTTTGGGCGATCAGGTAGTATTCCAGCCCTCACACAAATTGAATGGCGGTATGGTGCATATAAATTTGGTGCCTCCTTGTATCAGTTCATATTTTTTCTCTGAAGAACTGGCTTACTCTGAGTCACGAAACGTCAGAAAATTTAAAAACTTAATTTTTCTACTCATTGGGATTTTACAAATATTATATTATTCTTATTTATGGTAGTAGTATTATTACTAAAAGTATTACTATTATTATCAACAAAACAAATTTTACATAAATAAATCTTTATAGAAAAACACTTTCCAAGCCTATAATGACTACTTTTATGTTGATTAGTAAAAAAATTTTGAGTTCAAGTATTCTTGCGAATTAAGTTATTTTGTGTAATCCTCCCATTTTGTAAATTTCATTAAAACCAATGCAATATTCATAGTTGAACAATCTGACTTGATTAAATCTTTTGAATTGCGTTTTATTGTTTACACGTTAAGACAATTGAATTAACTATTTTAAAAAACTAGAGTACATACTTTAAATCACATTTACTGAACGGTATTGATTTAAGTTGACGAGCTGGAAACAATAGATAAGAAATGATTTTGCTAGTTCCTTGTGTGATTATTCATTTACATTGTGGTGTATATGTTAAATGCTCTTGAAGACTTTAAAATTCTATAATAAACAATAAAGAATGGAGTTCAGATTTATTTTAATTTTAAATACAGTGATTAGAAATCCTCTGTGCCCGTATTTTGTCTACTGTAATTTGCTAAAATCAACGACTTGAGGTAATGAAACCCAATTTACTTACTTAACCATCTCCTTGTCTTCAAAGATTGTTGAATTCCATAGTTTACATATTCAGACATTTACTCACAAATAGCATTGAGAGATAGTTGCGTACTACTGCGAGTCGATCGAAGTTAGATATCTAAACCATCGGATGCCGGGTCACTAGTTTAAGGCATAAGCGTTCGCCATTATAAATGAAAGTCTTGAGTATGATCCCTTGTGAAGTCGTGAATGTGCACTAATAAAAAGTCCTATACTTAAACAAAACAGCTGTCCAGTGTTTCTGGTTTCCAGTAGTTGTTTAACTAAGATCGGTCCGAGATACAACTAATCTTTGTGCATCTAGGATTACGTAACCGTAGGTATTAATTTATCATTTATGGAAATATTTTTCTCAATATGCTTCTTAGATTCTGCATATGTAATATTTAATAAATTAACGCTAAAATTAATTGATCATGTGGGCGACTAGTGAAGTTCATGTCATCTTCGAATCCCATGTTCGAATAGTTCTTACTATCGCTTAAGACTGTAAGCATCTGAAGAGAATTCACAAAATAAACGGATTCATATTGTTTTATTAACATTATTATCAGTGATTTATCTCAGTTTAAAATGGTTGTTTACCCTTTAAGTTAAAGCTTTGTATAAGCTATTGTTTGAACTTAATCTTTTCTTTGGAACGCTAAAAAACATGACAGTCGTTACTTTCTTAAGGCCCATTGTGATTCCTTACTGTTATTTTTATCTCAGAAATTTTGTCAACAATCGTTATTTCGAACTTACCAAAACACGAAAATTCCTTCATGCAATAGTACAGATCATGTTTTTCTAAAAAAAATACATTAGCTCAACGTTTCCAGGGTGCTGCTGAGAACAGAGGTTCACATTGTATTTGATGTTACTGTAATAAGAAGCATATAGTTTATTTGCTTCATAGGATAAACAGAGAAGTTGGGAAAACTAAGACAAAAATCATTTTAGCTACATAACAAGTTGATTGACAACACTGTAGTGTTTAAAACTATCACATATAGCAAAGCTACATAAATGTAAGCAAATAAATTGAGGTGTAAAATGTAAAATGAAGACTGATAAGATGATTAAATGTAATAAATAAATGCTTTTGTGATGACCAATTTACATCATGGTATGTAGATGGTCCAATTCTAATTGTGTGTCTTGTATCCCTATCAAAATTTTATTACCGATGAATTCATCGGGGCTAATTCAGTTTCCAAATAAATTAACTTTAGTCATTTTACTTCTTATACCTAAACTAGGTATTGGTTCAGAAAAGCCGCACAAGGCCATATTACATTTGTGAAGGTTAAACCAGATACAATACTTCTTGAAATTTTCTTCCAGTGTTTGTAAGACTGAACTTTGCCAAAATCTTCTAAATAAGAAATCAATCTCAGTAGTAGGCGAAGTACAATATTTTTTGGCATTTTAACTTTGAGAATGTTGAACAACCTTAATTGACAGTGAATGTGGACGACTAAAACATCTTAATGTCGTAAAGTCAAATGACAATTTTATATTAAATTGCTATGTGACTTTCGTAATACGAGGTGTAGTGACTGTTTATTTATGCGTCACTTTATTTCAATTCTACTGGCGGATCGACTGTTTATCACAGCATTCAAAAAAAGTAATGTCACCAATAGTCAATAATGGGGATGCCAGTGTTACATGACCCAACAAAAAATAAAAAAATATTATCAGTCTCTCTTGGTTCATTGCTGAAATGTGTTCAAATTTTCAAATTCACTGATATTTAACTTCAGTGAGTTAGGGAATGGTTGTGAAGCTTTGAAAGTTAGATCTAGTTATTCAAAGTAGCTTTTTTTAACCAGTAGATGACTACTATTTTTATTAGTAGACAAGGATTAACAGTTGTGGAAACTCAATGAAAATGTTGGATAACATTTACCATGAATCTCTTAATCTTATTCATAAGTTTACCATATTCAAGTACGTATTGACAACATTATTGATATTTTTTTCCATTATAAAAGTAGTATTCCGTTCATCATCACCAACCTTAAGGTAATATCAATAGGTTATTTATTAGCTACATTAAGTTTACCACTTTTGTGCAACATGTAAACAAATTGGAAAAAATATGATCTATCAACACACTGATAAATTATCTTTATAAATACTTTAAAGTTATGACGAAACCTATTATTACATTCGTTGTAAGTTTAAGACTTGTTAAATTAGAAGCGATTATTGGTGATTAATCATAATTTGTTAAATTTAACAAAAGACTATGTATAAGTGTTTTAGTGAACATTGTAGAGTCCTCATAATTAACATTACAAACTGATTTTAGTTAAATATTCCTTGAAAACCGAAAAGCTTTAGGAGGCTGTTTCGTTCCAGTATGGAACTCCTTAGCAGTGTGTACCTAATATTCTCCTAGGGATCAAACCGAGAACCTTCAGTTCCTCTTAATAACGATTTAGCTCAAGACTTTTTGACCGACACTCATTTGTGCATATGCCTACATTCGTTCGGTTTGCTAAAATCAATGCGTGACACAAATTATGAATATTTTACTATCTTCACAAATTCCCCTTTGCTTATAATTTTTATTAGCTCACTATTGACTAACTTTGAGATGCTTAACCCTTAGTTTTAAAGAGCAGCCGTAACCAGTGTTCAGTAATACCAGATGTTAATCAATTACCCACCTCAACTCCATGTTTGAATTATTTTTTCTGGTTAGCATTTTTTTAGCGAGTTAGTTTTCTACGGGATGGGGTCGCTAACCCCATGTTCATCCTTCCTTCTTTATCCGGGCTTGGGACCGGCAGTAGTCTCAGAAAGGCTCCAGGTGGAGTCACCTCAGATCGATATAACTAATTAATTTTAGTTAGACATGTACACCAGACTGGTAGTCATATGGTTAAGCGTTCTCTGTGGAGACTAAAGGCCTAAGGTGCATATTATTGAGGAGTTCCACATTCGGCTGGAGCAACTTTCAAAAGTTATCCAGTTTTCAACCTGTGATTAGCTAAGATTATTCTGTGATGTGAACTATGAAAAAATTTCTTTTATGATTTTATTTCTTTATTAATACTTTATATTCAGGAATAAGATTGGTAAAAACTATAATTAATTGTCATAGCAACGATTCATTTTTTATTCACGTTTTCTATTGGTTCTAAGATCATTGTTTAATTTGCCTGTTTTCCACTGGCATTATTATCAGTCGGCTTATACCACTTTATTATAAACATGAACCGCCTAATTAATATGTTTTTCTTGCCCAAAATACATGGAAACATGAATTATTCGTCAGTGTTGAATAATATCGAACAACCGTAGAAATAATATATCACTGAAATGTATTCAAACAGTAATCAATAATGTTCATAACAGTAAGTGAGAATATTCATATTTTTGAAAGAATAAAATCCAGTAGAATACTCTTGAAATAGCTGTCCGTCATTCGAATATATAAATATATATATCATAGTTGTCTTAGCAAACTTATTACACTGGAATTTAAATATAAATAAAATTTACCGAATGGAAAATAATAATCAAACGGACATTTCAATTATTGGTAAAACACATAGTATTCATCGTAGTGAATTAAATACATTACAAATAAATATTGCATATGAACCAAACTATGACCTCGATAATACTAATATAAAAAATAATCATGATTTTCAAAAATTTAGTGGTGTATTAAATTTACAATGTTTAAATATTGAACATGTAAAAAGTCTTGATAAGAAAAAGTCTTCTCATTCAATGCATAGCAATTCATTTAATCCTTATGATTATCCATATCAACATCATGTTCATTGTGTAAATCAAAATAATGATGATATTGATATGTATACTACTAATAATAATTACACTGATGATAATATTATTGATATTGACTTTAAAAGATCACACGAAATAAATATAGTAAGACCACCACAGTTACCACCACGTAAATATCAAAGATCAACTAATTTATTAATTTTCAATATGATAAGATCACCATCCGATACTTGTTTGATAAGTAGAAAAGTAAGTTATATTTAATTATTATTTATTATTTTAATTTTTTATTACTTTTAATATTTAAAAAAAGTTAAAATAAGTTATTTTTTATATTTGATGATATTTAGTCACTTGACTTTCATGAATCTGGAGTACATTCAACGATAACAGCAAAAAAATCTGTTCATATCACAATGACACTGTTAACGATGATAATAATAATAAAAATTCACCGGATGATGTAACACACTGAAATGCAAACGCTAAAACAAACAAAGATAAAAAAAATACGAAATGACATTACCTATTTCAATAATGTCTATAAATCATCATGATACTACCATTATCATCAGCGATAACATGAATAATAATTATAATATTAATAATGATTATAATGTTAATCATAAAATCATGAAATCCCTAAGTAAATATTACATAAATGAACATAAGCAAAAATTCCATCATAATTTACAGACAAACTTCAAGGAATTCACTTGTTTATCACAAATTATTAAACAAACTGATCAATCGGCCCATAATTCTGATTATAAAAAAGAAGTATTTACATCGAATAATGACAATATGAAGTTTTTCCAGCATGAAAATGAACAAGTAATACAATCTCAACAATATAATTCTATACCAAGAATGAATAAAAAACCTAGGGATTTAAGAAGTGTAAGCTTTTTAAATACATAGTAGTATTTAAAGTAAATGAAATAATTTTGAAATACAATATCTTAAAGTCTGATGTGATCATCCTTGTATTATTTAATTTTATAAATCTATTGGTCAAAGATATCTTTGAAAGTATAACATTTAGGTATGAGACCATATTTTGACAATCATTACAGAGCTTATACTTATTCTTATGCTTATACTTCAAAATAAAATTTTATAGGGTTATATTACTATACATCTGAGACTGAACGTACAAATTTTTACTTTATTTGAAAAATACTTGAAGTTATCCGAAACTTAAAGTATACAGTTGTATTTCTCTTCAGTAGAGGAGGTAAATTTTTACTGATTCACTATTTTCTTGTTAAAGGACTGTAATAATAATTCATTTGTATCGACTACTTTAATTTTTTCATTGGTGTTTATGACTTGAATTGATCAGTTCCTCTTGACACACATGAATCCCGTGCGGATTGCGTTGACATTGATATCAAGGTACAAATATTTCAAATACAGATGGATGGTAGTTATTAATGGAATACAGAACTCAGGTTTAGTCTTATATTGGGACTAATCAGCTGGTTGCGCCTGGTAAATTGAAGTTTTAAACATCAAAATGAAATTTGTGACGACCAGTGCGAACCAATTAAAATTCACCTCATTGCCCATCCAGTGGTTATTCGGACCTGGTAATGAGGCGAATAATGATTTGACGTTTGAAATGAAGGGCTCGAAGTTCAAGACATGGAGCGAACACCAACACTAGGGTGCAGGTAACTCCACCTGACGAGTCCAAAACAGAATGAAACCTGCCTCGTGGATTCTATTGCTATCCACCACCCATCTCTACCTAAAATGTAATAATATTGTTTCAAATATCTAGATCAAACATTCATTCACTGTGCAGAGAGATTTTGCATAAATTATGAACTTTTTTAGGTTATTTATTTAAAATTGTGTTTCACGATTGACTAAATATCTCTAGAAAAACATATCTAAAGATAGTATAATTGCTTTCGAAATCGTCTGATTTATGGACATCAATCCATTGTTGTAAACTTAAATATTTTGGAAAATTTAATTCAACAATATGTTAATTAGTAATACTTATATTTAGTAAATGGACTCAACAACAGGCATTGATTTTATACATAAATGTCTAATTGGACTTGAGTAACAAGTAGTCCCACGTTAGTACAGCAATATATTTTAGTGCTACCTAAGTTCCAATTGTACTACAAGGAGTAGGAATTCACGATTATTACAACCTATAAACCATATTGTGTACTATGATATATTTTATGAAAGTGGTTTAGGCTTGTTATTTAAGATAATAAACATGAAGTCAAGAGAAATCATGAAAATATTTCACTTCATTTGCATGAACAGAAAAATCGATAGAGTTCGACCGGCACTAAAGATATGAAATTGGTTACTTATCAGTGATAAACTTTTGTAATTTTCTCAGTCTTTCAGATGGTCTGTAGCAGCCTGAATCGCTCAGTGATAACGTCCTTCACTGTGACATATTGATGTAAATTTAAATTCTACACAGAGTATCAATTCCTTAAAGACTTGATATACAAGTCCTAAATTCTACATCCTTCAGTATAATGATATTATGTGCCTAAAACTTATAGATAAAAGGACTCTTAACTAATTTTTCAATGGAATTTATCCTCTAGAATATCTTTAATACTGTAATCTGAAGCGGAACTGTACAACATCATCATTGAACATACCTTTGTTAGTTGATTATATTAACCGTATTAAAAAGTGTAAAATTATTGTATTGAACGAAGAAATTTGTAATTTGTTTCTTCAGAATAAAAATGATTAAAAAAAAGAATATTTTCATAATTAAAAAATATTCATGTCAAGAATATACTAACAAGCTTACTATTTGTTTCTTATATTGTAACAAGATAATTCTCTTGTAACCTTCAATAAACTATTGAACAGAATATGTAAATTTCAGTATCTAAACAGTTTACACTAAATTAACATATTGATCAGGAAACAAGATGATCAATTACAATATAAACTACAAATCATCATTCTTTTTTATTAATAATATATATATATATATATATATATATATATATATATATATATATATATATATATATATATATATATATATATATATATATATATATATATAGGAAAACAAAATTGATTAAGACTAACATAGAAAAATTGATCAATCAATTGACTCTTCCAACATTCCAAGGAAATTCTGACAACACGTGGTATATAAATTGTTTTAAATACGATAGCTAGACCATATTTCATCAGTATAGAGTTCTTTGTTAGCTGATACTTCGCTTAATATAGGATTGTTTTACTGTATTATAACTATTAAATATATGACATATTTATTATTGAATACCTATCGTGCATTATGTTTTATTGGCATACCTAATGTAGTGATTAGTTTTTTTTAAAAAAGTCAAAGTAAAATTCTGTGTAATTACCAGGTGTTGAAATTTATTTTATGAAATGAACATTTTATTTAATAATTTTTATTTGTTTAGGTGTTATGGGTGTGGTTATAAAGTTGCATACAAACTGTATGTCCTTATTTATAATAAAGTACATTGATGTATTTCATTTCTATCATTTGACTAGAATACTTCATGTTATTTACTGCATTGAATTAAACTTTCTGTGCAGAAAAAAACAAAATATATATCTCAATAGTTTAACTATAAGTATTGGTTATGTGGTGTGTGCTACTAATGTCGACAGATATAGGTAGTATATGTCAACAATCGAAAGTGAAATGTCTGGCGACAGAAGGTTAAGAAGATAGAAGAAAAGAGAACGAGAACAGAGAATGATTAGCGTATGCATTCCTATTATTGCTACATACTACTTATATCTGTCCACACAATTAGCGCACACCACAGTAAAGCAATAAGTGATGAAATGAGTGAAGAAAAACAGAAAACAATTAAATCGAATAATTTATTAGAAGATATAGTTTACCAGATCATTTATAGTTATTAAACTTTCATCAAAGAAAACAAGAGTTAGTATACTAAAAAGTTACTAATATAGAATCAATAGCTATAAATTATGAATCGTTTATGGTGATAGTCTATTTATTATCATTTCTGGAAAGGCTAATATAAAACTTCATGCTAAACAAAAATGGTAGTGTTATCATTACTTCATAACTAAATTCAATGCTTTATTATAAGCAGAGATGGATGATGGCTAGCAATGAGATCCAGGACATGTGTTTCGTCCTATTGGAGACTTGTCAGTTGGATTGATTTTTTGTTGTTTTTAATAATGATAAAAGAAAATTTCTACTTTCGTAGATATTACATTACTAATAAAATCATTATTATCACTATTATTATTACTATTACTATAAACCAAAGAAGACAATGAAACATGGATATTCGCACTATATTTATGATGATTGAGGATTAAATAAGTATTGATTTCTATTTTGGAAAGTCTCGAAGCATTTCTTTCCAGAATGTGCTCTACATTTCACACATGGCTTTTCTGTAAACAACAATTAAGCATATCTTTCGTAACATATTATATTGTATTTATAAAAATATATTTAAAAATCCTTAATTAAGAAACGTTTCTAGTTCTTATGACTATAATTTATATATAATTTTAAAAATATGGGAAATAAAACATAATAATATAATCTTATTAAACATAATATATAAATATACAAATGAAGCTCCAACACATTTTCTTGCAGTTAGTTCCTTATCATAACTCAGTACTAATGCATAAGTTGTAAATGTGATTAGAAAATCAATATAAATGAAAATTTGGTTTTTAATGTAACTAACTGGAAAAACTGACTAAATTTTGTACCGTGTCTATCATTAACTAATGGTTATTATAGTAGATATTACTGTTAATTAACTCATAATTATTTGGATGAGGCACATATGAACGATGCACATATGCCAACATGAGACTGATCAATTGCAGTCCTAAATAACAATGGGAGGATACAAGTAAAACAACATCAAGGGAATTTAAACTTCACCCCATTACACAAGCAGGTGGCTATCAGGACACAGTAGCTAAGTGAATAACGCGATGGCATTTGAAGCGAACGGTACTGGGTTCGAGTCCCGGAGTGAGCATCGACCCGGTGACGCAGGTACATCCAGTTGATGAATCCCAAATAGGACGAAATGCGCGTCAAACTGGATTCCTCTGCTAGCCACTATCCTTCTTTGCTTACAAAGCTTGCGACTTAAGGCTATATCGAGGAAATCCTCACAGGATGCAGATATGCCAATATGAGACTGATCAATCTCAGTCTTAAATAACAATGGGAAGATGCAAGTAAAACAACACCAAGTGGATTCAATATTATATTTAGTTTTAAAACTTATATACTCAATCCAGAGCAGTAATAAGAAGCTAATTATAAGGAACTATTTCTTCCCATACGATATTTGTATGCCATAACCGAACGGTTAATATTCCTAACTTTAGTCAATTCACAAATAAAGCCTGTCGATCATAAAATCGCTTTAGTTAATATTTAGTTTATTCTAATTATAAACAAAATCTAATAGTCATTAGTTTTTGGCGAGAACTTAAAAACTTCATCTGGAAACTAATCATTAAGTATGTGTTACAAATGCCTAGGTACGGATACCTCGACACGTCATGTTTGGTGATGTAGGAGTAGGTTGGAAGAAAGCTAGAGACAACCAAATAGAGAAGTGGAATTATTCTATGAAATCATCGTCTGTTGGTTTGAGCAGTGTTCGTAGATGCAGATAATATGGTTGAGATCCGCTCGATTATCTCAGCCAACAGAGATATTGGATGACATGACTTAAAATCGGTTACATTGGGCCAGATACATTCAACCCTTTATCTCGAAATATTCGTAAGTTTTACTTCGCGAATTCATCCTATCTTCTCAAACTATATTATCTATCCTTAGTCTTTTCTACTAGTATTGATACTTTTACTGCTTCCTCTACTGTTATTGGTCACGATAATTTCATCTCACTGTACTGATGTAGTGTGCCAACTTGGACTGATGTATAAATATCTTCGGATGTAAATTGTTTGTGATTCATTAATTCTGCAAAATATTCACTTTCTAAATGACAAGTGGTTTCAGCAGTTATTTGATGCTTAAATTACGTAATCAATTTTAATGCTTGCTAATTTGGTTTAAAGGACACTGATTATATCTTATTTTGTCATAATTACAATTCTTTAAAGAATCAGTTATAATTTTTGAGGTATGATTTACATTCTCCAAAGTATAAACGTACTAAGTTCCGTACCATTCTAGGTAGATATTATACATTCATATTAGAATTACAGAATAAAATACAACAATAAGTTCATTCTAGTCTGTTTTTTCAATAATTGCTCGAATAATGTTACTTCATAGTCTTTACAAGTTTCACCTCGAAATAAATTAAAAACTATGGATACCACGCTAAATACGTTTGATAAGATGTAATCACACCTCTATGACATTTAAGTAAGAAACCTTGTTGAAAAAGTATATTTGATCAGAAGCTTGAATTTAAAACAAATTTTTTTAAATGAGATTTTTATTTTGAGTTCTATATTTATTTCAGCATCACAAGTGTTTAAAACAACTAATAAACTCAAATAGTCCTCAGCCATTCGATAGTAGCCAAATCACATCTCCTGAAGATACTCAATATAGTACATCAGTGCCGACACACTCGTCAAACATGTCCGATTTTCCAGACAGTAAACTATTTCACAATCATACAATTGATCACACAGATCTACCGGTTACAACAGATGGATCTTTTGAAGCATTTAAAATATTGAACGATCCTCTAGACTATAATTACACTCAAACTGAAGATCAAATGCAATATCGTTCATTACATGATACAATACAAGATGGGAAATTTCCATATACAAAAATGAATTCACGAACAATCACTGAAAATACATCCAATAATAGTATTCAACCTACAAATATTGAAAAAAGTTACAACCAAGTCAAAAGTACAATGAGTAAAAAACAAACATTAACAAATTTTGATGAATATCCACCAGCTCCCGGTAGTTCATTCAGTCAACGAGAAAAAATAAGCGGTGCTAAACTTTCTTTTCATCATATTTCCTATGAATTAAAAATTCAAAAGACACTCTGTAGTAAACCAGTGATAAAAACGATACTTGATGATGTAAGGTGAGATGAAAAAAATGTCGCTAAAATAAAATTTTACAGTTTACCATTCATATATTATTTTCCTTACAGTTTCCTATACTTTACTATAGTTTACTGTAATCTAAAGCTGTTTTTAAACAGAAGTTGGATAGCAAGGATGATTGGTGGCTAGCATTGGGACCCAGCACGCGTGTTTCGTCCTATTTTGGACTCGTCAGCTGGATGTACCTGCATCCTAGAATTGATGTTCACTCTAAATAGTAGATTTTCGACTTAAAACATATGAAGTTATGCTCTCGAGAAATATTGGTTTGATATGTGATGCATCATCGACAATAAGAATGAAGAAATTTAATATTTATTTTTATATACTTAAATTAAGATTGATTAAGTCTTGTAATTATGCCCATCTTGAATTAAAAAAGGCTACTACATAAATAACTAAAGAATAGTACTATTTAGAGTGTGCACTCGTCTGTTAACTATTCTGTTAGGCAAAGATAAGAAATGTGAATTGTTGACTTTAATTAGTTATCCAAACTAAAAACAACGATGTGATCCTCAAACCAATTATGTGAAACGTGTTATAACCAAAGGAATATCCAAAAAGTCGAAATTTTCGGAATTGTTTTTCGGAGTATTGTTATTCATATTTTTATTGTATAAATAGTAGATAACTGTGTGATTGTATTTCGATATACCTCTTATTGTAAGCTTTCAGTGAACCTATTAACCGTCGCTATATGTTTCACTTTCCCTTGGTTGTTGTTAACTAATAATGACCTGTTTCTTCCACTCTCTACCATATAGGATGTCATTGTGTTTAAATTATGATTTCTTGTTTTTGTGTTGTGATCGGTCATTTTAAGTACATTAGTGTATTAACTTTGAGTCATGAGTGAGAATAAATCTAATTCCTGTCTGCGTCTTCGGATTGACTACTGGGAAAAAAGGAGCTTGAGGATCAACGAACGTTAAGATCTAGGCCTTTGTTTATTGATCAGCGTGTCAGTTGGCAAATGCGTCGGTGATCCTACTTGGATACAGGTAAACTAGTCGGTAATGGGAATCCTGATTTAGCGGTATAACGCATGATATCAATCAGCGTCCTCAAGCCACAACAAACTAGCGATAACAAGAAATAAAAATATGCAATTTAAAAGCTCGAATCAAAAGCCACATCTTATGCGAATCCAGAAGTTGTCCATGATGAATTCCGTCTTTGCTAAGTATAAAACGAATCTTCTGATCCAACTGTCATTTGCTTGTTTTTTAAGTGAAATTAATTGAAGAAAATCAAATATCTGATATACAGTACACTTTTTAACTGGGTTCACTATTTTCACAAATTTGCATGTCATTACTAACTTTCATAAATATAACTTAGCGAACAAAATGTAATTTGAGAGAATTCGAGTAAAATTCAAGTAAAATTGTGACAATAGGTCCCATTAATAATCTCTAGCACTACTCTGATATCGAATTCAATCATAGGCGATGTTCTAGCACATAGAATGACATATAAAACGATAGTAGCAAACAGTTATAACGTAACGGATATTGTAGAAGTAGGAAATGGTCTTCTGAATTATTATTAATCATAATTTTGTTGTGTAGTTATCAAGTGTTTAGATTACCTTGTCTATATATTCCGCTTATCATGAGCTTTTAGTTAACCCACAAACTAATATCATACGATCGACTACTTGTGGTCTGTTGCCCGCAGTCTCTTCCATTCACAGACAATTTTAACTTGTTTATACACTATTGTCGCTTTTCATTTCATGTTGTGGTCCGGTTTGTCCGTGTGTAAAGCATGTCTGTTTGAGATATAAACTCAATAGAGGTTGGTTTCTACTTATCGACTCAGGTTAGGTTTTAGAGAGTAGCTTGTGGATAGTAGAACAAGAGGAACTTGGTCTTTGGCTCAAGGTCAATAGTGCTGGTCGGGCATGTAATTAACCAAGTCAAAGACACTAAGGTATGGACTAAATAACAGACCAAATTAAGATTAGGATTCTGATTGATGACTTAGTACGTGATATTGGTCAGAGGGTCTTAAAAAATAATACAAACGTAGTAACATCTTTTGTTTCCTTTTATTTTTTGTTTCAAAGCCAATTGAAAGCAATAGGGATCTTTTAAGGTAAACGGAATTGGATTCAGTAAATTTCTACAATCCTCAATTATTTTTTTTTAGCAAACACCAAGATTGTTTCGAATCTTGGAACTGCGCACATGTTAAACACTATAATGTAACACAACATTTTTATCTTAATAATGTCGCCTAATTTACTGATGAAGTTGGTTTCAGTTGATTTATAAATAAAAAAAGCTATTGGTATCATACAGTAAACTTTATATTTAATAGTATATTTGGGGATGGTAAGCTGTAAACTAGTCATCACAAAATCTGTATTCCTTTTTATTATCTCTTGCACGTACTTGCCTTTACAAGCAGATTTCCATTGAAGATAACTGCATACACTTACTATCACCGTCTAGGAGTAATTATGTGGTGCAGCTTATTTTTAGGTGATAAGTATTGAAATACAGTTCTATAGATACTTCTAATATGAAATTGATTTAGTTCCAACTTACAAATTAGTGCTTTATGACAGTTAAATTTATGTCTAATATACGTAAGAAATTATTCAAAAACGCTTAAAGAAAATCCCAGTAACTATTTCAGTTCTGATGGATTTATTTCCATGATAGACTTCGTAAAGATTCACGTATTTGATTTGTCAATTACTGATCTGGTTTATTTGTTGCACTTGTATATTATATATTATTCAATCAATATTTGATTTTACAGCCTAGTCAATATTGCTATTTTCCAATGAATAGTTAATAGATTGATGGAAGTAGAGAATTTTGAAAAAAGTATGGAGTACAAACAGCTAGATTATATGTATAGCAAATAATACCATGACCTATTTTAATTGTTAAAATTAAGGACAATGATTAAAAACAATAAACTAGCAAATGAGTGATATGTAACAGAATAAAATGATAAAAATGTAATGGAAATAAGTGTATATTAATATAGTGATCAAGGAAATGTAAAGTTACGAATAGGATTATATGGCAGTTATAAATAATAATAAGGGTACATAAAAGTCACCCAAACGACAAGATTGATATTAAATTACTAGGGAAGCAAGAATTACTGATCATAAAGAGAGCAAGAACAAATATTTTATTTACTTCGTTTGGTTCTCATCAACTATTTACAACCCGTGATATCTAAAAATTATAACTACAAAATGAGTATAAATTACTTGCATAACAGATGTTAGTTAGAAGTTATTTAGAAAACACATCAGTATAGCATATCGAGGGTGTAAATAAGGTTAATAGACTGAATAAAATATTGTAAATAAATACCTTATATAAAAGAACATTCTACAACAGTGATAGTAACAAAGGTTTAAAGAATTAGAAACAAGTGGTTACATAATGCATATGCGCTGGTAATAAGTAGGAATAAATTGAGTAAAGCTCAATTATTCAAAATAAGATTACTAAACTAGAAGACAGTTGAAATAAAAAAACTTAATGATGTAACTAACTGAAAGAAATAGTTGAACAAAATTTTATGATGTAATGAAGGAATATTTGTCACCGACTCAAAGAAGGATTAACAACCATCTCTTTTTTTAACACATAAATCAGGTTTCCGACGCCTGATAGAAACGGCTTCATTAAAATACAGTAGACCGGAATTCGACTATTTTATAATCACCTTGATGGATTGCAAGATATCGACTTGATGTCCAATATACATGAGATGTTCAGAAATTGTATTATTCGCTTAATACTGTAGTTTTCTCCTCCAATTGATGTTTATCACTTTCTAAATTGAAATCTTTTGCTAGATGACTGCTTATCTATTTCAAGCGATCAGTTGAAAATTACATGAACTCGTACCCAACCGCTACCACACGCTTCCAAGATGGTTTCTGAAGTCACCTATTGTTAAATTTCGCAGGTTCAAGGGGTGTAGACTTCTTATTGGAGACAGGCACAATAATTGTAATATATGTTTGAACACTTTAGGTGTTGTGACTTTACATCTTTCTTTATGTCAATGATGTATTTATTTATTATTTAATATTAAATCTGAAAATTCAGTACTGTTTGATATTTCCATATTTTGAATTCATTTGTTTCTTTTGAAATTTATTTTCTATTGAATTTCGACTACCACTGGTGTTATCGTTTCGACTACTTTTATTTTTATCTTGTTGATTTTCTCTTTCCCTATTTGAATATGAAATGTCGCGAACTGTGCTGATGCATAAATATGTCAGTCTTACATTGATTATGATAAATTAGCGGCCAGGTTGTCAGACAGTTGCTGATGAACACTGGAAATAATCTTTATCAACACCAGAAACTTTGCCTAAACGAAAGTTGTCTAGTATTTCATATCTACGTTATTCTTCTACATCAATAGAATATTTTTTAGTATATATATATAAATAGGGTTTGCTTGATTTTGTTTTCTTTTAGTGGAATTCTTCTACCCGGAATGAATGCTCTTATGGGACCAACTGGAAGTGGAAAATCTTCGTAAGTGTACAGAAATGATAATGAGATCATATAAGAATTTTCTTGTTTGCTTTTTTTCAATGGTTACTTAATGAGAAACAGGTATTTAGCTAATATCTTATATTTTTATTATGGTTATCTTTCGTAACACCTTGTGACTAATAATTAAACCACATGGATAGAAGTAACTAAAAACTAAAAACATCCTTAAGAAAGTGCATTCTCTAGTGTAAAACTGGTTCTACTAAACAAAACTTTATGTTCAATAGCACAAACAAAAGTAGATAAATATCTGTAATGTGTTCCGTTCAACTGATTATGTCAAGTTAAATGAAAATGAATGTACATTCGAAGAGCAGAAATTTGAACCTCTACTCTTTTTACTAAACATATTCCCAAGAATGTACACTTTTGAGGACAAAACAGCCTTCGTAGTTTGATAGCTTGTTATTTAGTAGACGCTGGGGAAAACGTTGACACAGTGAACTCATTCAAAGTGATCAATAAACAATCCGATTCTATCTTAATAAGATTTGCAGAAGCTATAACGTGTGGATGGCTTAAGCCTGATCTTTGTGCTTAAAAAGTGTCGGCCATTAACCTTCAACTGACTTGATAACGGAATCACACTAGACATTTTCATTCATTTTCAATTTTCTAACTATAATCATAATCTAGTGTGTTAAGTTCACAGGACCTCTTTTTATTTCTATACCTTCTTAGACAAATTTCGTTATATTACGTAATAATAATATTGTCCTGAATATTCTATAACAATCACCTTAGCTAATTATAATAAACCTAATGGGAAACATTAATTGCGAACTTCTATACTACAAATAACTTATTCGTTATTGACAAGTCATTCTTCAAATTGAACATTATGTTCACAGCGTAATAAGAAGACGATTATCAGAACTATGTGATATATTAGCGTAGTACATTTCGAACAGTTTGATCATACATGCATTTGTTAAAAACATTTATATTTAAAAATAAATGGTTAACTAGACTAGAAATGGGGGGAGGCAAGGGGAGACAAAGATAATAAAGAAAATAATATGAAAAACATCACGCTGGATAATAAGCTTATATTACCGCGAAAGGTTTGAGGTGATAACAAACCGTTTTTGAATATATAAAGGGGGTTTGAATTTTAGTGACTAAAGTAAACTACATAACCGTAATTACTGACTATGATGCACTTAGATAGCTTAACAACATGGATTCTTTCCGCAGGTGGATAGACCAATCTATTTATTCTTCACAAGTCACATTTTGACCTTGTCAACTACTCGCTTACTAACCTTGACTGTTTTTAAACAAGAGTGTGTGTATCGCTTACCCTGTTCATCTTATGTCTTTAGCTTATTTTTGTCTGGTTATAAATGTTGAGTGACACGTTATCAAAAGTTATTGGCATGTTTACTTTCTTCGATCCGTTTCTCTTATTATCTGTCTGTTGTAACGAGTGAGTGAAATTTACGTATTCGAAATGCATCCTCGTATTTAACTTATTTTATTCCGTTATTCTTTAACAAGAATTAAGTCGATAACTATATACGAGGGTAGGTGGCATGTATATCTCGTTAACGTCATCATACAATCAAATCGGAGTTACATCAACGTGACACCAAAAACTGCACATTTTTGTTACATATTCTTCAGTAGACATTCAGCGATATTATGAATAATTGTCTCTGTATGTTTAAGTATCTAACTTGTTAACTGGCCTCAAACACACTGAAGGGCTCTTCACACCATAGTTCTTGAACAATAATAGTAACAGCAACAAATTAAATAAAGTAAATGCGAAGGCTGGAATAAAGCCAAAACTAAAGTTAAATACATAGTTAGTCTAGTCACATCATAACTATTGTTTGGGCTTTATTGCTAATAGATAATCATTGTCTTGATCATGATTCTGTGTCCAATTGTTAGCCTAAGACAATACGCGTAAACTCTAGAATTGACCAAATTTGCAAAGCTCTACGTTCACCAAGTTGCATAATAATAATAATGAGTTGGAAATTAGATGTTACACATTTATTAAACTTTAACAGAATAGTTTTCGAAATTTGTCTTCCATAGAAAAAAAATTTATATCCATACTTCATGTGAATAAAACGTAAATCTGGAAATATCCTCTGAAATGAGAAAGTTTTAAGTATGTTTTGTGAAGTCAAATATTAAATTCAAGTAATCAGTTTAATTCATATTAATTACATTATGTCACTAACTAACTGCATTATCAAAAAGATTTTGAAAAAGTTAGTTGTAAATTTATGGCTCAAAGTGTCTCTGTTATGTATTGGATATATCAGTTTGACTTCATTATTCCAAAGGTGGTGAGTGGTGTGAACACTCGAAAGAACATAACAGAGCTATCTTGTAAGCTATTGATTCATTGTAAACACAGTTTTCAAAATGATAAATTCCCTAGAATCTTCAACTAATTTCGATATATTTTAAGTTTAAAGTAATAAACTACTAACCAATCGGAGAAAAAGTTTTATCACCTTATATTTTCGATCAATTTTTTAAAATAATTCTTTGTAATAATTTATAATCTCTGTTTAATTATTTAAGGCTTCTAGATGTGTTAGCTGGTCGTAAAGATCCGAGATTCCTTTCTGGAAAAGTTTTAATTGACGGTAGACCTCAGCCGAAAAACTTTAAGTGTATTTCCGGTTATGTTGTTCAGGTAAATAATTTATACAACTGTATACTTCAACGAACCACTTCTTTATCATACCTTTTTATTCAACTAGTGTAGTTGTTTAGAGACTAAAACTATTGTATATTGTTATACTAAGACAACCAAGAAAACTAATATCACTTCATATGACGGGTTTGTCTCTTATGAAATATACATAATAAAAAGGGATTTTTGTAACGATCACAGTTGTTTAACAGAAACTTCAGTTCATGACATTCAGTAACTGGATATTTATCAACAAATTTTACGTAAAACATTACGAAATTAAAAACATCTTTGATATGATCATTTTATTGTCACAGAAGTATTTATGTTTTTTTGAAGCATGTGATAAATAATGAAGTTCAGTTAATAGCTATGTATTATTAACCTGACCATAAAAACATAAATATACAACTAAGAGGATGGCTTATCGGCATGTAACTCCAGTCTATAACATCATACGAATTAAATAGATATTTTCAATTATTGTTTACACTAAGACCGTTTTGTATATTACAATTATACTTGATTTTGTACAATTTGTAGGATGATATTGTAATGGGAACCTTAACAGTAAGAGAGAATTTAAATTTTTCAGCAGCCCTACGAATGACTATGCATTGTACAACAGAAGAAAGAAATCAAAAAGTCAACGATATCATTGATGAGTTGGGTTTAAATGCTGTAGCGGATAGTAAGGTAAGGAAATGTTTATAAAATTACCTAAAAATTTGCATGAATCTGTAGTAACAAATGTGAAATTAAAAATCTGCTCATAAAATCACTATTGCGAACTAACTAGCAAACAAATTCCCTATTAACAATAATATATTACAACTTATGTAGAAAGACGAAAGTTCAAAAGCAATAGATTATTTATTCTGAATAGACTCAAATACGTTTTCTTATTAGTATGTGTCTGTGAAGATTGTTGAATTTTCTACTTTACATAACAAACTTACCCTGTTCCGACAATCATTGAAAACCAGGAAGCACTGAAAAGCTGTTTCATTTTAACATGGGACTCTTCGGTAATGTCCCTACGTAGGTCGAACCCAGAGCTTTTAAGTCTTGCAGTGGGCGCTCAACGTTTAGACCAGTGAGCCAGTATCCAATGGTTTATAGGTTTAATTTTACTTTTATGTCACATAACACATAACCAACTTTTGTGATCCGCAAATATCAATTACCATAGTCAAAATAACTATTAGTGTTTACGCTTTTAAAAGGACTACTAAGGAATTAATAATTATATGAAATTATTTCTATTCTAATGTACATAATGTTGTTTCCAAATAAATGAACACCTATATTCTATTTTCCAAATAATTGTTATTATCTGTCATTTCTAAACAATGACATAAAAACATTTTATTTTATTCAAATCTTCATTCAAAAATAAGAAGCTCGAGATAGATATTTTAGAGTTAATAACAAATAGAGAACCATTAGAATAATAGAAATACAGGTATATTCATGTTTCTCATAATAATTCTGAACTCAACTTACTCTGTATACAAATTCATATATGTTACCTTTTTGTCATCATGAAAAAACATAACAGTAATTTGATTGCCGTCAAGTTTTCACTTCTTTTGTTGGTGATCGCACAAGTAAAAATAAAGCCTGAGAATTAGGTATTATTTTCATCGATGAATATTTGACCTACAAAATATCAAGTGTTAGTGCTTCGGAAGCCTTCTTCTCACATTAATTTTTATGCTTATTATCTTTTATATAAATTTGAGTGATTTGAAAAAAACAATGATGTTAACAGATTAAGGTGAATTGATTTATTTCACAGATTGTATTCAGCTATCTATAGCCTAAAAATAATAGTATTACTTATTTAAAAATACTTAATGTTATGTTTGAAGAGATTACGAGTTCACCTAATCTGAGTACGAAACGAAGACTCTGTAACACAACGACAAATAAGCTAGCTATTCCGATGTATCCCAGCCCAGCTAACTAGAGAGAAAAGTTCAAATTCGGAAGAGGGAAATATTATTCCGCAAGCAGTCAGAAGCACGAATAACCAAAACAAGTCTCGTCGAAAATACACTCATTTATATATTGATGCATACACCCATTTTTGATTAATAATCAGAATAAAATCACATTTATGAGAAATACGAATCATATGCTGAGTATAGTTCATGTTAATACAAGAGTATCGTATATTATACAGAATAAAAAGGTCATGTGAGAAAACGGAAACAGGTACTATACTGAGTAATCATCACATTGAATTAAAACGAAATTAATGTTGAACCAAAAATCATAATAAGTAAATCAATCTAGTTTTGACTTTTCATCCCATCATATCACTTAAACTACTCTATAACATGATGTCAGAAAAAGTTATCGTTGGTGAAAAAAATAATTCCTTGTTGAAACAATTGAAAATTGACAAATACTCACCTTACATAAATTTCAGTTGTTTGCCAGTTAACATGTATATATAGAAGAGCATTTATTAAAGTATTAGAAATCATCAAATTATCAATAACTAAACGACTTCAAACCTACTGCCTTTTGCCAAAATAATCAATAATATGTATGGATGAATTCACAAGAACACTGTTATTAGTCTTGCACTAACTTGGTGACCTCAATATGTAACACTATTCCATTACAGCTTATATTACATTTACTGTAATAAACATAATTTTTTATCCTTTCTTACTTTTAATTGAACTACATTCATTTCAATCTCCTAAATAATCTTTTTATTATTATTGAGTAGCTTCTAACACATAACTTTTCGATTAACCTGTCATCATGCGTTTTCTCCTGAAATATTCAGATCATTTAGTACATATATATTCAACTATATGAATATCTATTTGATATGTCTTGTTGTTTGAATGCTACTTGTTATATCTGGTCGTCGCTGATTGTTATGTCGGAAACGCTTATTACCTATACCTGAAACGAGGGACTTCTGCAATTCCCACGACGCGAAAGTTAGAACACAAAGACTGGTATTATTAATCCCCAAAACATGACGACGACAACCCCAAACTTATTACTCTTTCATATTAATGTTTAGTTACAATAACTTTTCTGATATCGTGATATAGACTATATACATCGATTTTTAATGATAATTGCTATTACTGTTGTATTGTAGGCAACTGAAGAGAATCTACGAAATACGTGAATTCATATTATTCTGCTAACACCGTTGTTCTTACTTTTCTTATATTTATAAGTGAGAAAAATTGTATGAAATCTTGATTGATCACTGAGTAGTGATCAATGTTCTGTGTCAGGTCTCTCTTAATGCTGATCGAATCTTATCGACCAAGTTGCAAAGCGGCCACTGGTCTTAGTAATTCGACATGGCGCGCACTATGTTGAGGTGTAAGAGGATTATTGGACGGAGGAGACATAAAACCCTGAACTCGGGTTTCGTGCTAGTTGAAACTCGTCAGCAATCTCGAGAGAACTGATCTCCGCTCGGACCTCGCGTTAGGCAGCTTAACAGTCAGAGATATTATCACTGAGCTGACCAATGTTCAATATAAGGAAACCTAGATCCATGGTTTCCTGTCTACTGCCTCTAACCACCACTTATATCTCGTATATAAATATGGTACTTCCATAGTCGGAAACCTCTGCTGTCTGGTTGTATTATATATGAGTGTATATATAGATATCTAATGATATCATCATTCGGTTACATTGTGTCATTTTCTATCATTTATTAGCATTTTCTTTATTATTATATTGAGTCAAGATATACTCATCATCAAGACTATAAAAGAGTTACTTGAAATGTAAGCTACTGTTGAACAGAAATTTCTGTAGATCAACCATCAATTCATGAAGTTACAACTGAAGTATTAAACTCAATTCATGCTCACCCTATCACCTTTTTGATAAAGAACATCTAATTTGCAGTTTCTAGTGGAAGATTTACAATCCATTTATAGTATAACAAAATGTTATATTAAACAAAGTTAACAAATTATTGCTGTGATATCTTCGTGCTTCATAAAACAGTTACGTTCGTGTAAATTTATGAGAATCATTTGGTGCTTACCACACAAACTTAATGAATTGTCTTTCATCACTGTAACTGATATAATTTATGGGCATTTATTATTATTAAAAAACACTTTTACAGGGTAAAATATGTACAGACTACTGCCTTAATTTCTGTGTTATAGTGAAGCTATTGTTTTTTAAAGTATCTATCTATCTATATCTATATCTATATCTATATTTTTACACTAAAATCTTCTGAGATTTTCCACTTCTTATAAACTTATCAATTTATCAGTTCATTTTAATTGTTCGTCTTTCTGTTTTTTTGTTTAGGTTGGGACTGAATTAGTTCGTGGAGTATCAGGTGGTGAACGTAAAAGAACTAGTATTGGAATGGAACTTATTACAGAGCCACCAGTACTCTTTTTAGATGAACCAACTACTGGTTTAGATGCATATATGGCAGGCCAAGTAGTAAAAACACTTAAAGCGTAAGAAACAGAACAATCTACTTGATCATGATTTTATTTAATTTTATTTTCCACTTGGATAAAATGAGTTACTCTAATTTTGCCTATCTAAGTTATTCATAAGGCCTAACATATGAACTCTTAGTAGATCTGTTAATATTAAATCCCCTATCAGAAGTAGCTGAAAATCAAAGAAAGTGGTTAATTAGGACAAGTCATTTTTTAGTTTCAATGTCACTACCAATTACTAATGTTGAAAAGTACAATTATCAATTTTTTCTTTACAACTTGTTTTGTACATATAGTGTAGGTCACTATGTTAAGCCCATATGACTTATTCTAGCTTCTGGACAGGACAATTATCCATTCATCTGAGTCACGTTTTGATTATGTTAACTATTCACTTATCAACCTTGTCTGTTTTTATATGAGCGTATGTGACCTGTAACCTATTTTTATCTGGTTATAAATACTGATTAACGTTTGATCAAATGGAGTTGGCTTAGATGCCTTTTCTATCGCACGTCATCTCGCTTCACTTTCTTCTATTCAATTCCTTCGCTTCGTCCCTCTGATTGCCTGTCCAGATCACTGAGTGTACAAAATATATGTATTCGAAATCCGTTCTTGTATTTGGCTTATTTAATTCCGTTATTCACTAAGGCAATTTAAGTCGATAATTATAAACGAGGACTAGCGATATGTATATTTCAATAGTAATCATTCATACGATATTACTGGAGTCAGATTCAAGGCCACTAAATACACATCAAATAGAGTTGAGAAAAATCAACGACGGTAGAATGTTACTGATGGACTAATTAACAAAGCTACCGAATCCACGTATTTTTAATGTTTTTCCTTTAAGGGATATAATATATTGAAACCTTAAAACAAGCATTCTGCTTATGACATCTTCAAATAATTAGAGTTTCTTACCACGACCCACAGAGTTATATTACAATCTATAATCCATAAGAGCCAAAATTTTCAATTATTACTTAAAATTAATGATTTTGAAATTCTATGTGGGTTTATTTCTGGTTTTAAGTATCTCTCTTTACCTTAATATCTGTTTCCAACAGTTTAGCCAAGCGTGGTCGTACCATCATATTTTCTATACATCAACCTAAGTATTCAATTTACAAATTATTTGACACGTTAACTTTACTCTATCGAGGTCAAATAGTTTATCATGGATTGGCAAAAAAAGAACCAATACGTTATTTTGGTCGTTTGGGTACGTAACTGGCTCCACGTTTCTCATGATTATTTAATGATTTTAATAGTTAAGATCTTGAGTCAATTGAAGCTAGACCACTATGGAAAACCCGAAAGCACTAGACGGCCGTTTCGTCTTATTGTGGGACTTCTCAGCAGTGTGTTTCAGAGGAAACGGCCATCCAGTGCTCCCAGGTTTTCCATAATGGTCTAGCTTCAATTGACTCATGATTTCAACTATTAAAATTATAATACCCAAAATTTTCAAAATTATGAATCCGTTTTTTTTAAAAACCTAGATCGTTTTATCATCAGATACGTACAATTCATTGAGTTTTACAAAACTTGTATCACTAAGAATAGAAATTTTTGTTTTAGAAATAAGTCGAATGGTTTAGGTGTAACAAGACCTGAATTTTCAACAAACAATTATTGAGTTCAAAACTGAGGAATTTTTCGAAATTCGTAAAGAGGAATTATACATTCAGCTTATTCGTGATAGATCTACTTTTAACTTTGATTAAAATTACCTTAAGACTCACTGAAAATCATTAACTTGCCGATCTGAAATATCAGTCGATATTTAGTTTACCACAGTTTAAACAGTCTACAAATGTATGGCCTAATTCTATTCCCATACAAATAGATCAAGATTAGATATAATATGATACTTGAATAACTAATATCCTATGCAATGACTTTCTGAAAATTTGAAATACAATCAAGCAGAAAATTTAATTCCTGATAAAAAAGAATTAGTTTTGTTCAAATGGTTTGTAAAGATCAATTATATTTTCTGATAATTTTTGTTATGGATTAACATCAACTATAGAAGCTATAATGAACCGCAAAGCAAAATAAATTATACAGTAATATTATGGATAGGCTGACTTCTACTAAATCATCCATAGATATTGTGTTTGCAGACACAGTTACGGCTTTCGAGTTCGATTCATTGAAGGATAATAGGGGTACACTTCTGGGAAGTCATAGGCTAAGATAAAACAACTGATACCACTCATTGAAAAAAACTGGATTTGAAAGCACTTGATACTTAAATTTCTATTTTCGCAAGTGAGTCTGATATTCAGTTTATTATTGAATGAAGTAGCTTGTAGAAAAGTGCTTAACTTCGTTCTAATTCAGTAAGCACCAAATATTATTAGCCCTTCATATTATCATCACAATTGAGAACAGTAGGTGTGACTCGCAAACTGTAGGATACAGACCCATCGTTATGCGATTAAACTGATAAAGCTTTTTTATTTTATTATTTCAGGTTATGTTTGTGAAAATCATAATAATCCGCCAGATTTTTTCATGGATGTTATACATGGTGAATGTTTGCGTCAACACAGAAATACGTCAGGTACTTTTGCATAAATTAAATATTAATAATATTTTAATCTGAATACAAAAGTTGACTAAGGTTAATCTATTTACGCTAGACCTGAAGGTTCTGGGTCCGGTAGCCAGTGAGGTTGTGAACTCCCATGGCCGGGAAAATTCCATACTAGGAAGAAACAACGGTCCAGTGTTTCCAGATTTTCAGTGCATCTCTAACTAAGGTCGGTTCTTAATTTCAATAACAATATTATTTATTCATTATCAACGTCACACTTTGTAGCAGTTGTAATAGTAGTGACAAATAACTGTTCGCCTACTGAATACACAAGAATACAAGCAAAATGAAGGCATACATGAAATTTATCTTGGTAATCCATGCAGAGAAAATGATTTATATATTACTGTTCAGCCTAACATATGATAATGACGATCTTCCAGCTGAGCAAGATACTATACTCTCAGTGAATATAAACTATGAATATTTATTCCAAACTTAAAATTAGTTAGTCCTAACTAGATGGTCTACGATTCAAAATATAGCCTTGAAGTCACTTTATAGGTCGAAAAGACAATGAATTTTTCCTATATAACTGACAAAATAGTTTTAAAAGGAGTTGATAAATCAAAGTTAACTGGTTCAATAACTATTTGAGTACAAGTATAATGAATTAATAATAATAATAATAATAATAATAATAATAATAATAATAATAATAAAGATTTTGATTGAGATCATGAATCGATTGATGTTAGACTACCATTGAAAACCTGGAATCAGTGGACGGCCGTTTCGCCCTAGTGTGGGACTCCTCAGAAGTGCACATCCACGACCCCGCACGCGGGATTCAAACCCAGAAGCCCCATACTAGGACGAAAAGGCTGTCCAGTGCTTCCAGGTTTTTAATGATGGTTTAATATCAATCGCTTCATGATCTCAACTTTCACAACCCCATGCTGATAATAAAAGATATGTCACATTTTATGGAAATCTTTTTATTAAATTCTTAAATTTAAAAGGTACACATCTTATTTTTATCAGAAATCAGGTGTCTAATACAAAAAAGGGATAATTTTTTTTAAATATTACGTGTACACATACAATACGATTTCTTTTTACATACATACTTTGTAACGATTGTAGTGTACAATTATATAAGTAGTATCATAAATTCATGTGATACGTCTAAATAGTCGTTAAAAAAATTCTCAATAAAAGTTTCCAAATGGTACTTTATATATTCATCTATCACATTGACTGAACATGAATTGGTGTTATCGGTATAAATATACTGTGGAGATTTTTAAATTTTCATAAATTAAATGAAAGAATGGCATTATTTTGACTACCATTGAAAACTAGAATACACCAGATAGCTGTTTTGTTCTAGTTGAAGAATTATCAGTACTGCTTATTCACGAACCCGCCACTGAAGATGGAACTCAATATCTTTAGTCCTTCTTAGATAATGGAAGATGGTTGCAGAGTACTGTGGATGGTTTGGATTAAGTCTTGTAAATCACTGGATTCCAGCTTAGTGGGATAGAAGTTAAATATTTGGGAGCGAGAACGAAGGTTCTGCGATTTATCCTTGGTGGTGAGGTCATGAATATCCATTGCTGGTGAGTCCCACACTAGAACGAAACAGCTACCTAGTGAATCATGAATTTTTATAGTGATCTGACAAAGATCAGTTTGTGATTTGTTCTGTAAACTGGTATGTAAATTTAAACTAAGATATAAACATTTAACTATTACAGATTGTTGTGTCAAGTGAGGGTTGAACAAGTAACTTTTTCTTCGAATGTAAAATCCTGTACTAACCTCAGTTGTGAATGTGACTTAAATAAAGAGAATTTACAGCAGGTAATGAGAAGGTATCAAGTTACACAATTGAGGAAACAATTACACAACTAACTAGTGATGAGTGCTTTCACTTAATTAGATTTAATGATTTTCTGTATTTTGAAAATACTTTCCATTGCAAATAGAGGATCACTGAAGAACATAGAACGATTGCCAGCTGTTTTGTTCTAATATGAGACTGTTATCAAATGTGTACCTATGAGCTGACAATAAAAGAGACCTTTGGAACTTCCGTTCTCTCTGCACGATACCCTTGGACCACTGAGTTAAATTCTTATAATCTACATTTCCAACTTTAGTCAAGAAGCAAAATAATCTACTTTAAAAGTCATTGTGTGCTTAATAGTAGATGGAATAGGTATTCAAGGACAACATTGGATGGTGCTCAAATTATGTCTCAAATTGACTGACGTTGGAAATATGGATCGTCATTTTCTGAGTGATCTTTTGAAATTATTTTCATTACAAAACACGAAGTGTCTAAGGTCACTGTGGATGATACGTTGATTCAATCAATCATCGACGAAACGGGAAGTGAGAGATGCTGATGTGTGTACGCTGTTGGTTGAGGATCTGTCTTTAGTTTCTAAGGGAGATAGATGTATATTTATAAATGAATCGTACATACATTTTCGACTCAGTAAATTAACGAAAAGCTTACCACTCAGTCTTGGTTTTCCTACTCAAGTAGTTGGTATGATGAGCACACTTATATGACGAGTACGTATCTGTATGACACTCGAATGATTGCAAAAATAACGCATAACTTGTTTCACTTGTGAAATAGCCCGTATGAAATGAAGAAAATGAAATTTTCGTATTCTACCTTAGGCAATATGCTGAACATTTAACTGGATATCTGTTGCGATTTTAGACTTTGAACACTTTATATTTAACAGCATCTAACACTAGATTGTTATTTTAAGGATTGATGTACTGTTACAAAGTGTCTGTTTATGACGAAATATGCATGCAATTAAAAAGTACAATTCAAAACTGAATCTTAAATAATTATCGTCCGATTACTGTTTCAGAAAATACCAGTCGGTTCTTAGTTTCAATTTCGCTATTGAAGACAGACACTTGAATGATTTTGCTGCACCAAACCAAGGAGTTTAAAAAATAACTGAAATTTGAGTTTAATGGTTCACTTGATATATGATGAACAATTTAAATTAGTTCGTGGTCCTTGTATTTGTAGCTCTAAAGTTTAACAGTGCAAATATCATTATGTATCACTTACCTTTAACTTGAATTTATTAGGATGTTTCCGAGAATATATAAATACATCTGAATTTGTCAACAGAACTGGTGTTAAATATAGTATGAGAAGTATTATTATGGAATCTTGATTTTTGAATTTGACATTCAGTTAGAAAGTTATTTGTGATAACAAACATTAAATCGTTCTTCTAAAATTTATTTGCAGAATGCATTTCCGTGAATAAAAGATAAGAAATGAGTTACGACAGAGTTGTACATCTTAGGTCTTAGTTTCTTAAAGAAACATTAATTTTAGTAGGTAAAAATAACAGGATTCTAAACCATTAGTTCAAAGGCAAAATATTTCCGCTAGATGATTTTTATTTGTTTAACAGAACAGATGGTTTTTAGCTAATGAAAAAATTCAAGAAGCGCGTCCTGTCATATTTGAGATTCATCAGCTGGACGCTAACATCAGGACTCAAAATCAGTGGCTTCTGCTTCGGTTCACTTATATGGCCTAACAAATTCATACACAGACTGTGGGAAGATAAAATATCTGTAAAGAACTCTGATTTTTTATTGGTCTTTTAATGGATATAAGTTTGAAATATATTATATCTTGCAATGAACACCATATAATTCAAACATAATTGTTAGTATGACTTATAAAACTACTGATTGAATCCTGGATATTAATCGTATACGCTCTCTAATTGATTTGGATAAAGTGAAGAATTTTCATATTCTCTATTAAATTTATTATTCTAGATATCCAAATTATGGATCATCATGATACTCAAGAAAGAATGCATTTAGTTGGACAACAACTTATTCAAGACTGGCAAACTTCTGAAATGGCTCAACAGTATGTATATTAATCTATAAACTAATAAACGTATTTCATTATTCAATCAGTAAAAGATAACATAACATAGTCTTAGGAATTTGCTATTTTAATTCGATTTATGATGTAGAAATGGTGTTAAAATGTGTAAAATGCTTTTTTGTCAACTAATATGCAAAATTAGTAAACAAAATGTTTTTGTACGAAATTACTTTTGAAATTCAAAATAGTGACAACATTAACTTAAGTTCGATTGACTTTGGAACTTTACACTTTCTTAAGGTAAGATAATTAAACTTTATCATTCAAGAATCTGGTCACAATACTTGATTGTGTAATAAGAAACGATCCATTGATAAGTAAAGCTGCTTTCATGTGATAAAATAAAAACAGGATATTATTTATTGAAACTGTTACAGAAAATATGGGAAAAACGTCTTTTTTCCGTTTTCTAAGGAATAAAGTCTTTGAACTATCAAAACAGAACCGAAACAGAACTGACACTGTATAACATACTTTTGAATTGATTGATCATTGTTCTGTCAACCGTCCTTCGCTGAGAACCTTTAAACCTAGTTTATAGATCAAAAAAGAAAAGTACTACCATTTCATAGTATGTACTGGGTATATATTCATAATCTCCATAATTCTGACCTACATAAATATAAGTCCACGTAACCTCGTGTCTTGAATGAACCGCTAAAATTTATGGGGGGATACTTATTCATCAAAAAAGAGACAAAGAACCAGTATGAAGAAAATAATTATTTGTTTTATTCATGTTAGGTAATTAGTAGTCAAATGTTGCCTTTTGTCTTTGAATAATAATTCTTTTGTTTATCCAAAATATTCTATAAAGAGAAATTAAAGGAACGAGTCATAGAATTCTATCCAAGAGATCAGTTAATTTGACAAGATACTTCAGTCCATCTTGAAAATAAATAAAGTAACCAGTCACTGACTATTTATTTAATTAGAAAATATGTCGTTTGAATTCATTATTGAACCAACCAACGCTTCACTAAAAGTTTTTTGTTGAAAAAGCTGTTTAGCTTGGTGTTTGAACATTTGCATAAAATATTATACATTTCTAAGGATATTGTAATAATTTCGATGGATACAAATCTTCTTATTTAATGACGTTTACTCTTTTCTATTTAAAAACAATACTACACAGTGTCCTGGAAGAAGTTAGCTCTATCGCTAATCGATTGGAAAAATATGAAAATGGTTCAAAAAAGAGCAAAGATAATGCTGTAGATATATCATTTGCTGCATCATATATTCGACAAATCAATAAAGTGTGTTGGAGATCAATATTGAATCTATTACGAGATCCTCTAGCATCAGTGATACAAACTATTGTTTATTTATTTTTTGCATTATCCATGGGTATAGTTTATTTTCAAATGAATGATTCTTTGGAATCTGGTATACAAAATCGTACTGGATTATTTTATTTTTGTACATTACAAGTGATATTTGTAAATTTGGCTACAATTGAATTATTTATTAAAGAACGTGTACTTTTTATGTAAGTTTAAATCGTTTTTTAATGCTCGCATCAATGTCTATCAGTTTGATTTGTCAAATGTCAGCAGTATAGGAAGGTTAGAGAATAGAAAATTCGAAGAATACAGATCGCGAGTGATATCATTACTAATCAGTCATTCAATACAGATAAAATGAATTTTCCGACTCAGTTTAAACTAAACGTGTTGCTAGAATTCAAATTAACATCTAATTAGTTTGTTTTCAATCTAACAAATGTCACTTCGACTATCAGTCCTTCTCTTTTGGAAACGTCATTATGAACCATTTAAATTTAAAGATGACTGGTGACATTTTACAAATTTTAAAGTTTAGTCTATTAACGAACAGTGTTTCAGAAAAGCCACACTTTTACAATGAAGTACGTCTTCTAAGTAGCATTATTTCATAATGATTCGATCAGGACATTGTAACTGATTATTTCATGATCATCTGAAAGTTTTTAAAAAATGAGATCTTGATAAAATATCATTTCTATTAAACCACTATTAAAACTTTTTTAAGATAAAATCTTTACAATAGATCTATATAGATATTATCCAATAAAATTGAATATGAGAGCTCAAGACGTCTTCTACAGTAAGCGATTAAGCATGTTAGGTACCTCTGTTATCGACAGTCCCTTATAAATTAAACAACTGAGCTGTAAATAAAATAGAACCGATTATATGTTAGTTGATCGTATACATTACTGAACATTCCTACCGATTTTACTAATTTTCTAATGTAATCTGTCTGACTAAAAATGAAAATATAATAGCTGCTGTATTGGACTTAGTATTATTACTTTTTTATTTGTTCTAATTTATTTGCAGACATGAAAGTTCAAGTGGTTATTATCAAGTCTCAGCATACTTTTTCTCCAAAATTCTCTGTGATATAATACCAACTAAAGTACTACCTATATTATTCTTTATGCCAATATGTTATTGGATGGCTGGTTTACAGAAAACGTTTGGAGCTTTTATGTTTTTCGAATTACTTCTATGCCTTACAACGTTAGCCGCTGCTGCAATTGCCTTGTTTATATCAGCAAGTGTTACAGTCTTTGGACTGGCTAATGCTATAATATCGATTATTTATGTGTTTATGATGGTAAGTTCTATAAGTACACGTCGTCTATATAACTAATTTTTAATGGTAAACTTGACTTTTAACCACACTTTAGATGTGAGTACCTGTAATACTATCCATTTGTCCAAACCAAAGTAAGCTGAACAGTGCTCAAATTTGCAACTGAATTATTATGATCGTATGGAAGCTTACTGTCGTAATTTTAAAAAATACACTTCTCTATCATCTTCTATTCGCGTATTCCACTACATTTGACATGGTGAGACGAATACTAAACACTATTCAATAACTTGGCGTAAATTCTATACCACTTTCTCAGGCGTTCGTATTCTTATTTCTGTCTGCAGAAAATGTTAATACATCACCATTTCGACTAGTGCCAGTACATGAGATTATATCAAAACCAAGGAAAGTAAGCAACAATAAATGAAACGATCATCGGATATTAAATATACTTCACGTGAAATATTCCCATACTAACTTTGGCTGAGGCTTTAAAGAATTTATGTAAAGGTTTTTAAAAGATTATGCATCTCATAGAGGTCATAGATACATCAGTCCAACGAGTGTTAACAAACATGAAAAGTGTAAAGCTGCCCGTAATTTGTTACCGGGTAAATATTTAGAACACCTCCCTTAATCCTCGATTATATCCATTTGGAACAATCAATGATTTATATTAAACTTTTTTCTCATTGATTTTAGGCTTTTTCTGGTTTCTTAATCAATTTAAAATCTATGGCTGTTTGGCTTAGTTGGCTTCGTTACTTCTCTATATTTCGTTACAGTATGGGTGGTTTACTGGTTATGGAAATGACAACACTTCGATTTTGTCCTATGGATAAATCGAATACAACAATTAATAGGCAATGGTATGATAATTTATTCTTTGTTGTTTTACACTTGGTCGTTATTATTATTTTTTTAATAAAATTATCATCGGTTTGCTTGAAGGACTAAAGAATCGTATGTAGCTAAATTTTTCACTCAGCTTTCGTCATTTTACCAAACATTTGCTGTTTTGAGTATTCTTATAAACCAAAATTATGAACTGGATAAATTAATTATAAATTTTCTTCAAGTCATACTGTTTTGGGTTTAAATTTCCTTCACTTCAATTAATTGCTCCTACGCTATCATTCTTTGTTTTGACTATATTAATTCCACCATCTACTCATTTATCCGCTTACTTTTATTATGCTGTTTAATCAATTTATTTCTAAGGACATTTTAAGTGAGTTTATGGAATATGCTTCATATATGTATAATAATGATTCACTTTCAATTGTATGTGGTGATATGATTTCATGTAATTATAGCTTTCTTTTATCACTAGGTCATCAAAAAATAATCGATTTCTCCACTCGTTTAGATAAGCATTCAGACTTAGTTCTCATTAATATGAAAATATATATGATTTGTAAACATGTTCCATTGTTTAATTCTGATCATTGTATTATTCGTGTTCTGCCTTAGGCGTATGACTAACTTCAAAAGAGTGCACTCTGATTTCAGACAAAGAAAGTTAAATACAGGAATTGCTCAGAATAAAATATCCATGACCTGAAAAAAAACATGTTGGCATTTATTCACAAATGACTCATTGGCAAACACCACTAATGTTGTCACTTATTATCCTAAATTCTTTTTTAATGTTTGTTATCCCATTGAATTTATTTTTGTAAGTTTTGATCGACCTATATCTTCACAACTAAAATGATTACGAAGGTAAAAAATGTGAAAGGAGCTGCAATAAGAGTATATTTAACTATATCAGTTCGCTTACGAGACTATACCTCTGCCTTTGATTCTGTTGCAACACCACAACTACTAAACACGTTTGCCAGCGCCAATACTACCAGCTGGACAACTGACTGGTTGTGCTCTTACCTCTGCGGAAGAAAACAGTGCACTGTGCCGACAGGAAAGTGTTCTACATCCTTACTAACTCAAAAAAGTATGTCTCAAAGAGCTATCCTTTCTCCTTTTTTCCGCATGATCCGTCACTAAGTAGGCAAACGATCTCACTATATGTACGTCAATTTCTGACTCCTGAGATTCTTTGGCAATGTGTTTTTGTCGCTCATTGGACGGTAGCCTGTTTTTAATGGTCCCACACTTAATGCTTCTAAATGTCAAACTGTTAATTTCAGCTTGGACATGAACAGCACTTAGAGACCCCGTTGTAATCCTATAAAGTTTGTACTACCGAGGATTTTGTAATAGTGTCAAAGGTCATTTATCTTGGTGTAACTTTTTCCTTTGATCTCTCTTTGCCTTCTTAGGTTTTATTGATATCAAACAGAGTTTCTCGTTTAAGCGGCTGCATGTTTTTGTATTACTCGATATTTACTTTTATGACTCGTGAATCCTTGGTTACTACCAATTCTTTTTTATTCTCCGTTATTCTTTACCGAGAGTTTGAGGAAAGATTTTTCTTTTTTGCAAAGAGTGCTTAAGGCAGTTAGCATGGTGTGCAGTAAATCTTTTGAGGTCATCATGAATATGGTTGTGAATAGAAATTTAAAATCTTGCGAACTCCCAGCAAATGTTATCTTATCAAATACTGACCATCCAATTTAGTTACAACTTTCTCCTTGTATATATTTCACGTCTTACAATATCTTGTTTGAAAGTTGTTTGATATAATATACATGCATTGCATCTTATGAATAAAGTAGATATAAATAGAATTCATGAACAATGTTTGAAATATCTTAACACCAGTTATTTTTCGAATGTATTTAGACAGGACGCATACATAATATGACACTAGAGATATGCAGTAACAAATCCAATCTCATCTCACTGATACAAGTTCCATAAGCTATTATTCTTGTTTTATTTATGCAACATTTCTGGAAAAAATCAAGATAACCATTAACAGTGATATGGGAAATCAGTCAAAAATTGCTATACTGTCACACTTGGTTCCTTGATGTTCAGTATTAAGGTTTAAAATGTATACATTATATGTAATTTTAATTGCAATTAAAAAATTTTAAAAAATTATAAGAATAAGTGTTTGAACATATCTTTTGTGATTAAATTAAGTAACTATGTTGATGTGTATACTTTTTTTCATTTCATAACCCTCTTTACAGTCAAAACGGCACGACATATTTGGAGGATCAAGAAATCCCTTATATGACTGGATGGGATTTATGGTTTAATGTTGTTGGGTTGCTACTAATTATGATTGCATTTTACATTCTTTGTTATGTTCGACTTCGACTACTCAATAAATACAAGTAGTCTAACAAGCAAATATGGATAATTTGTTGATGTTCGGTAACTGTGACAGCTTAGCTCGTTACAGTATTTTAGCAAAGATAGATGACTAGGACAAAGGAGTATGTAAACCTCAAAATTAATCTACACAATTTTAACCTTTTCTGATGGTGCCTCGCGTTGGATAATCTATTTACAAGCTACGTTATAAAAGAAGTAAGAAAAGCAAACCGGTTTTAGGTATAAACTCCAATCTATCAACACACCAGACTCTATATTTTGTACATAAATAACATTGGTGACCTACTCAAGTTGTATTTAATTGAAAAAGTCCATTTTTATGATACACATCTTCTGTTTTATTTACCATAAAGACGTATACTTTGAAAAATAAACAAAGTTGTACCGAAGTTAATTTTCATTTAGCGGCTCATTACCATGAATAATTTAGAAAAGAAACGAATAAGGCAACCATTATTTCTTAAGGTTACGACAAGCCACTACATTATTAAAGTTGCTGATGAATTAAACAATACCTGGGATATTTCAATATACTGAAATAGGAACCACTTGAAAAATCGAAAAACTGTCCAATCTAAATCCCGACTGAAGGGAACAACAGCTAGGTAGATACGATGGAGATCCGTATCTCACTCTAAGCGGTTAATGTTGTCTAGCATGCTAATAAAAACACCAAAATAGTTCATAGTGAAGGATGTAGTGAAGCGGATTTTTAATTAATTAATTTATTTGGACACATAAATATTGGTACAAGAGGGCACCAAATATATATGCACCACACAAAACAATGAGAATGCGGAGAGAGAAAAAGGCAAGGAGCGTAAAAGAAAAAAAGAACAATAAAGACCAGATTGGTGTAAGGTAGTGTAATAATAATAATAATAATAATAATAATAATAATAATAATAATAATAATAATAATAATAATAATAGAGGAAATGGAAAGGTACAACCAGAAGAATTCTTTCAGTTAAAGAAGTTACAACCACTTTTTATGAAGAAAGTAAAAGAAGGTTACAGCACGATCGCCACTGGCTTCTATTCTGAGCCATATCTGATAACGTCTCTAGCCACTGTGTTGCACCATCTCTCGGACCCCAGCCAGGGAGTCGGGAAGGACCAACACAAGCCAGCCCATTGCAGCTTTCTTTCATACCACGACACCATGTCATACGCTGACCACCTCTCTGCTCTTTCTAACCAGTCCCAATGTCGGCAAATAATGCACGACGAGGAATTCTCTGGGACGACATTCGTAGAACATGTTCAAGCCACCGAAGCCGGTGTTTCAAAATGGTGACACCAATTGCATTATCGTATCTGTGCCCGAACACACGATGCCGAACCTCTGCATTACTAACATGGTGTTGCCACTGAACGTCAGCAATCCTTCGGAGACAACGATGATCAAACACAGAGAGTCGTCTAACATCCTCAACTCGGAGAGGCCAGGTTTCACAAGCATAGAGCAAAACTGCTCTCACCGACGCGTTGTAGATCCGACCTTTTACAGCCAGACTAACATCACGAAGGCGCCAAATGTGGACCAGATTGGCATAAGCCGCTCTGGCTTTCACTATACGTGCATTGGTCTCATCACTCACACCACCACCAGCATTTATGCAGCTACCCAGCTACACGAACTTCTCAACTACTTCTATTTGCTCACCATCCAGAGTGAGTACAGGATTAGAATCCTGCCAGTCTTGTAGGATTACTTTGCACTTCGAAAGTGCAAAGCAGATACCATACCTACGGACAATAATTGCCAACTGATTAAGTGCGAATTGCATGGCTTGGGTATTATCGCACAGTAATACAATATCATCCGAGGATGGAATAAATAATCACAAAAACCGAAAATATGTAGTACCAAAGATTAAAAGAACATATCCAACTTGTAATTAGGAGATTACAAACAAAAATTGGTAACAGGAAATAAAATGTAAAGCGATATGGCAGACGTAAAATAAATGAACACAATCATAAATGGAGCTGTAGTAAAGGGACAAATCAAAGTGGCAAATGTTTGGCAATCGAAAAATCTGTGTGACGACGGCGATAGTGAAAAGTATTTTTGTGTATGGATCTAACTCTAGGTCATGTGTTACTGACACTTATTTGGAAGATGGTTGAGACAGACATATACGTTTTAATGCTTTTAGGTCCATCAAGCAAAAGTCTCAAAGAATGATCCAGTAACTAAGTATTGTATCCGACTGGACGGTACAATGTAGTCATTGTTTCAGTATTATTAAATAAACTACGTTTAAGGGTGTGGCACAAAGGGAAATGTTACTCGGCGATCCACCCACATACATTGTCCTAAAAAGCCTTTGTACACTCGTGTGGCTGTTCCTGGAACATTTTCCACAATATTACAGTGTATTACCAAACTGGTCGTCCAAGGCATTTGTGGGAAGGCAGCCAGCATGAAATTCTCCAAACAACAACCTCGTGTAACGATTCCCAGGGGATTCATCAGTAAGGACATCCATGAATTCCACATAAACTTTAGTCATACCACAAAAAGTAAAATGACCTGTGGTTTAGGTACTATTTCCAACAAGATCCATGTACAAAATGATCTATCTTCGAAGATATAACACTCCCGTCTAGGACTTAAGGACTGAAAGTAACGTAAGCGAACTGTAAATCGGATGTTGACATAACCTATAGTGAAACAATGTGTTACCATTATTCATAGTAAAATCTGGAATGTTTTATTCATATGATAAGTTATAAAGCCATAGATTGTTGAAGTAAAAGACAGGTCATCAACTCTACAAAATACTAGTTATACAGTCGATAAAATTAATTACGAGTGGGCCTCAGTATAGTACTTTATTTTGTCAGCTAAGTGCAATCCTGACGACCTTGAGATTATCGAGACGATACCAGAGAAAGTCCACCTTAGTGACACAATTAGCATTGACAGTGCATTTATTCTAAGGCAGTCTACAGCATAATTGGAGTGAGGATCTAGGACTCAGTAGCTTGATTTGCTGGATATCTTACTGGTCACGTGAAAGGACAAACAGAATTCGATGAAAATTAGTCTGTTAGTGCATCAATATACATTCCACCACGGACAAATATAGCACAATAAATGGCTAGCGTAAAACAGATACGACATTTATGTACTTTGAATAAACAGATATTCATAACGCTAACGATGAGACCAAGTAAATTTCGAGATATCAGAAGTGAATGACTGATAATTATAATACTACTGTGTTCAAACATGATTGAATACTTATCTTTTTATTAAGAGTGCGTCATGAAGTATGTTGTCTAGAAGTATGGTCACTTCCGATGATGTTCAGGAGAATTATAGCTTTCCGATTGAACTTACTATCTCAGAGAACGAAATTCGTTAAAATCACCCATCTGGGTTACAAATTTCTATCACACATAGTTATCTTATATTGTTTACAGTAACGAAATATTTCAACGTACGTATGTTGGTATCGATTTCGTTTACATGGCTTAGACGGTTTACAACTGATTAGTCAATAAAATCGTAGTTAACCGATTTACTAATCCCGTAAGAATAAATGTTACACCTAAAAGGAAACAACTGATTACTAAATGAGTCTGTTTAATTCATAAAACTTGGTAGAGGAATATGGGACAGACTATACCACACCGTCCATATGACGACGAAAATATAATCTGGATCTGGAATCCAACAGTTGACATTCGATTGCTAAGACTGCTGAGCAACTTATGACATGTTTAACCAAACTTCACTGTCACTGTGACCACAAACCATTGCTTCCAGCCATAACAGCCAAAAGGTGCACACAAGCCTTAACAAAATGTATTCTTTTTTCAAGCGATGCAGTGCAGGACAAAGATAAGGCTGGAATTCAACTTGCAGATATTTCAGAGATCGACTTCATACTCTGATAGAAGTTACTGAATTACGATTTCAGACCTGCAACTTTTAGATCCAAGTTATACATACATGATGTATTTAGAACAAAATAAACTACGTGAGCGCTTCTTAGCGGCCATATTCTGCTTACTTAGTATAATTATTACTTTAAATGTCATATCTGATTCATCATCACCTAATAATATAGAATATTTAACCGCTATGCTAATACTATTGTACCTTTTTCACCACGTTTAAATATGTTGTGATCCGTTGTTTGGTGTATCTCAGCTTATTGGTTGAGATGCTGTGTGTTATAATATTCTAAAATCTGGCCATTATATACAGAAATTAGCGATGATATAATATTTATTATGCAGAAGGACTTTACAAGGAATTTTACAATGGACTTATTCACCCTCGTTGACCAACATGTTTGGAATTCCGTTTGAGATGGTAAACTCCCGACCAGTTTCTGGGCAAACCAGTACACCCTCCATTACGTCGACTTCAAGAAGTGCTCGGTGTGCCAATTTTAAGAATTCTTCATTTTCCGAATAATTAACCGGGACTTCTTCTGGCAAACAAGGAATGTAATCTTCACCAATCTGTTAAAAGAATTATACAGAATAGACCAATTACTTCATCTGCTACTGACTTCACAACAGACCACTCAACTTTCGGAATCAAACGGGCAACTGATGCAGGGTCATAATCAACCGTTGATACCTTTAACGCGTTGGCCTGAAAATATTAACTGCGATAAGTGGTAACTGACTTTCAATTTTAGTGGATATCCCACTTTCACAGACTTTAAGACACGAGAAGTAAGTATGTTGTGCAGAAAAAGCTTCATCCTAATTGTAAGCCAGCAAATAAAGTTATTTCTTCAGAAATATTGATCTTCAAAACAAGTACGCAATCTGGAAAACAAAACGAATATATAACATGTCAGTACTGAGTAGTTAATATGGAGATGGAGAGTACAATCCACAAGATCTTTGTTCTGAATAGCACAACAAATAGTAAACTGTTTTACAAGTAATTACTTAGTCAGACTAACTCCACATGCAGTTGTGACGTTGGTATACAGTGGTAAGACTGAATACTTATTCATCAGCCATTCGCGACGGATGTAAAGTTTGGGACAAGTGTGTATCAGTCCCATTCCCTAATCAACACAATGAAGTTAAATTTACGAGACGAATATGAAAAGGTTCGAGTATTATAAAGACGATGATAGTGCGAAAGACTAAACATTAAAAAATATGGGTCTAAAATACAGTAACTTGCTTCGGTCTGGGCACCCGAGCAGTATCATGGCTTACACACAAATCAAGTGACGTGTGGCGTAGATGCATTCGATGCTTCTTTATACCAGTATTTGTGTATTCAGATAAATAAATAAAATAAGGTAGGGAAAAAGAAACGCTGAGGAAAAAATTATTTAACGTCTTTAAACTGATGTCGCCAACTCTGAACAAGTAGTCAAGATATGACAAGACTCAGAATGACAGTTAATGGCTATGACTATTTATGTAAAGCTCCTATTTAGGCACCCTGCCTTCTTCGAACACACTAGGATCTCATCCAGTAAAGTAAGCCTTGAAATATGACACCTCGAAATGCTTCGATGAGTGAGCCTATAACGTATGGATGATGTTTAAGAGATACCAAAGTGGCCAAGAGAAACTTCAGTCACTGACATATGTCAGCTAGTTTAAGTAGTAATAAATAGAAATTACAGTTGGCAATCCCAGGCGACTGGTTTGTTCATCATTTATAGCACCGCCGAATTCCCGATACTACATGATAAAGTCAAATAACAGGCTAATTACAGTGATTCGAATATCGTTAATCACATTCCTTTCGAATCAAAAGGACCCCAATGAAATAAACGCAAAGGTTACCCGACCCTAGCAACTTAGAATGACCTTGAGACCACAAAATACGCGCCTTACAAGATCAATTATCCAACATTTTCGCAGCATCACATTACTAGAGTCTGAATGTCAGATGATTATTCAACAGGATGTGCCTGTGTCCAATTAAAATTTGCAATCAACTTCAGCTTTGAGGTTCTAATGTTAGATGGAATAACAGACATTCTGGCTACCTTATCTGAATTCCGGTTAACAGTTTAAAAAAAATCAGCTAAGTGTTTCTATACTAACCATGAATGCGCGAAAGTTGAAGGAAGAGATAAGTGTTCTGACTCCAATGTGGAAGTGATCTAGAGGTTTTAAGATGCCACAAGTATTCGTGGTTTGACAATGTCTTTATCCATAGCATTTAAATGTTCCACAAGTATTCGGAGTTTCACAACAACTTAACTAGTAATAACTTTAATGGCAAAAATGTTCCATTTCTATCGAATATGAAGTCAGAAGGGAAAAGTTTCAAAAATATATTTGAAAGAATATTGATATATTAAGAAGTGATTAATCTAGGCCGGCTAGCGTTTACAGATGTGCAGTACGGCGTACCCCCTCATGATTTGGTGCGGATGTGTTATCGAATGTATTTAGCGAGCTGAGTCCATTAAAAATAACGCGCTAAGTATCAAATGTCGAAGACTAGCAGAGCTATTGACTTTGGGGATTTCTTATACCTACAACTTGTTAACCGTTTCCATTTTTGCCTGTTATGTCATTTGACGACGTACTATAACTTGGTGGTCAGGCTATCCTGCTTGTTTTTTGCGCTTGTGGAACAGGTATTTTGTTGGAAAGATAGCCGACAGACAGGATCAATGAAATGTCTTGTACAAGAAATAACCAGTGTGCTTTATTTTCGTTTTCTCAGTGTTTATTAAAAGTACAGTATGTGCCATTTTTCCATTAAATTAATAAATTAAGGTCTACAAATACAATTATCTATGCCACCAGATCAAATCCAAGATTCTAAATATGGTGTGATTACCTTATCTATAAATTCCTTCGTGTAGGCAACCTAATAGGCCTTACTGATTCATCCTATCAGTAAAATTTTATGGGACTTCTGGAGTACACATTTAGGATAGGGATAGAATAATATAATTGACATGAAAAAAAAGAGGTTACATAGCGGTCACTTCTGCGGAACCCAGCCATGCCAAATCGAATAAAGAATTCTGCATCCACTATTTCTGACCTTCCTCAAGTGTTCGGTGCTGATGGGAATCGTCCCAGTCATTGTATATTCTAACTCAGTGATCATCCGGGTGAGAACCAATATCACTACAAACGTTTTGCAAGTGTTTCACGTATGGCCGGAGTTTCAGTTGCCGTTTCAGTTTTGAAAGGACAAGAGGCTTGATGGCCTGTGTTAGTCCTGGCAATTGTGTTCTCTCAGTTGATCCAACTTTCTTTTGAAAGAATCTACGGATGGAGCTTCAACCACGTGTTGAGGTAATGAATTCCACTCGTTGATGATTCGGTGGGAAAGTCGATAATTAGCTGACAAGTAATTTGTTCTGAGCTTGTGAACTTTTTTGGAGTGTCCTCGTAAATTCTCTGTTTTGGAAGGCAAGAAAAATGAGGGTGTATCAGGTGCAAATTTATCACTAAGCAATTTGAAAACTGTAATCAAGTCGCCTCTAGTTCTACGATATGACAAAGGGAATAGGTTTAGCTTGGTCAGTCGAGCATCATACGGAAGCTTCGCTATTCCGGATATCAGCTTAGTTGCTGTTCTCTGGACCTTTTCCAAAAGTTCACTGTCTTTTTTAAGCAGGGGCTGTCCGCTTGTATGCAGTACTCAAGTTTAGGATGTACGAACACTGTATACAAAGTCAAAAATGTTTGAGCGTCGACATGAGTAAAAGCCCTACGTATTGACGATAAAGTTCTAAAAGCTTTGGCGGCTATTGCACGGCAGTGTGCAGTAGTCTCCAGATCTTGGCTAACGATGACTCCTAAGTCATTATGTGTCTGGACAACAGGTAGCTCAGTGTTATTCATCGTGTATGTATCTGAACCTTGATGACCGATATGCATCACAACACACTTGGAAGTATTTATCGGCAGCTGTCATGTATGAGACCATTCGGATAATTTCTTCAGGTCATTTCGGAGTTCTAAGCTATCACCCTTACATCGTTTTGTTCTCCATATCTTGACATCATCAGCATATAGCAAGACCGATTATGATAATAAGCGAGGAAGGTCATTTACATACAAGAGGAATAGAACTGGCCCCAAAACTGTACCCTGGGGAACTCCACTAAGCACAGTTTCCCAGATAGATAATTTTGAGTTTACCCGTACTCTTTGTTGGTGCCCAACAAGGAAGTCTTCTATCCACATCAATAGATTGCCTCCAATTCCGACATTTTTTAGCTTATATAACAGTCCTTTGTGCGGAACTTCGTCAAAAGCTGAAATCAATGTAAGCCATGTCTACAGGTGACTTTTGGTCCTTAAAAGCGCACCCGCTTTCTCGAGTGACTAATAAGTTAGTGAGACAAGAATAACCTATTCTGAAACCGTGCTGTTTCTCAGAGAGGATTCGGTTTACATCGAGGTATTTAAACAGCTCTTTTCGAATAATCTTTTCTAAGATTTTAACAACCACACTAGTTAGGCTAACGGGTCGGTAATTCTCAGGTTTTTGTTTCGTACCTGTTTTGAAGACAGGACTTATTATAGCGTTCTTCCAGTCTTTTGGTAAACGACCCTGCGTAACGGATAGCTTAAAGCATATACTTAAAGGGTTCGCAAAGAAGTTAGATAATTCCTTTAGTAGCCTAGGATGCAATTCATCGGGCCCCATAGATTTACCTATATCAAGCTTATTTAGCAGATCAAAGACATCGAGTTCATTAATGGTCACTCTATCCAGTGTATGTGTGTGGGGGTTTGTATGCGCTGACGGGTAAGGTGCTTCTATGGTATATACATTGCTAAAGTAGTTTGAGAACACTTGAGCCTTACCAAAGTTATCTTCCACTAATGATGCGGCAGTACTGTCTCCCTATAGTGCAGGAATATTTCCTCTTCTTTTTATCCTTAGGTTTACATAGGAATACAGGCGTTTAGAACATTCTATGGATTTCCTAACAATTTTTTGTTCGTACAGCATTCTAGACATGCGGAGGGTCGAGGCACAGGTATTCCTAGCTTTTTGGTACTGAGATTTTGTCTCATCAGTCCCCAGTAACCTAAATCTATCCCACATTTTTCTTCTTTTAAGGAGAAGGATGCGGACCTCCCTATTGAACCATGGTGGGGAGTTTCTCGGCTCCCTTGGTATAGTCCAAGGAATGTGGGGTGCGGTAATTTTAAGTATAAATTTCGGAATGCATCCCAAGCCGTTTCAATTGAGGACTCTGGGTCTATTGTCCAATCTACTAATGATGCTGAGTGCATGATATCTGGTATGTTTGCTTTTCAGACATTAGGTCTGGATTGAGTTGACGCTTGCTCGTGATTGACAGTTATATGGAAGTCAAAAGTTCAAACTGCGTGATTACTTTTACTTGGCGGTGGTATGCAAAGGAGGTTCGCAACGTCATCCTCATAGTGAGTTAGTATAAGATCTAGTAAGGATGATTCAGTGTCCGAGTAGTACCTAGTCGCTTGTTTCACATGTTGCACTAGGGCACATGTTATAACCGCATCAACTAGTTCCTGCTCGAAGGAATTATCTGACGAATCAGTTCGCAGATTTCCCCAGTCAACCATAGCTGCATTAAAGTCCCCTAGGACTAGACATCGACCGCTTTGCGACCAAATTTTGAGTCTGTTTAGCAGGACATCATTTACCTCACAGCTTGGACTGCGACAGACCGAACCAATCAGCATCTCTTGCCCCTTGAATTTCAAGCGGCAACTAACCAATTCACACATCCCACTCTCATGGGATACACTGTCAATA